CAGCTGAAGAAATGTCAGCGGTATTAAAGCTCAATTTCATTATAAATATCCAGCTGGAATAATTTCTTTTTAAGCGAACGGGAATCAATCCAGAAAGATTCCTGCAGCGTTTTTGTTGTTTTTTTTTTCTTTTTTTTTTTTTAACCTCCTGCAGACAAAAGGGGGGATGTTGCAGTTTGGATTTATTTTTGTATTATACCTATATCTCTAAGGCTTCTTTTCTGTTAGTGTTACATAGTTCCTCCAATAATTATTTCATCAGTCTCTGTAATTGTACTTTTTAACTGGAATAAAAGGAATCTGTGGGCTAAAAGAGATTTTTTAATCTTACGATGAAAATGGAAGAGCAAATAAATGTTAGGCATCAATTTAATCAATAAATAGAATGAGTAAGTCAGGCTTAGTAAAGATTGAAGATCTTTTTCAGCACTAAAATAAAAACCACCAGGCTGGGACTAATTTCAGTTAGAAGTATATTTAATATGCTACCATGATATTTAATATAAGGTATTCCCAAGTATTCTGCAAATAATTAAGAAGGAGAAAGATAAACAGATGAGACTTTTTTTTATTTTTTAATATGGGGGTGTTTTTATATTAAAAAAAATCCCTTAAATTTTGCAAAACTCTGGCATCCAGGAGTTAGGTCTGAGCAGCAACTGTAGCTTGGTGACTTTGACCTCGTTGTAGCTGAGTTGGAACTTGCCTTCCCAAGTTGAAAGGCACGGGCTTTGGTGGCAGTAAAAGGTAGAAGAGGTCCGAGGCATTCTGCAGTTTTCCATTGTTGCTCTTTTATTTCAAGGGTTTTAACAGGACCTAAAGTTGCAGAGTACTGCAGCTGGAAAAAAAAAAACCATAGAAAAAGGAGAATACTTTTCTTGCCTTTCTTCCCTGAATCATTTCCAAGGTACTTAAGGATTTATTGGGCCAGATACCAAATTACAGTTGAGATGCTGTGTAGTGGCTCGTGTTGATTAGATGATTGATTAATTTCTAATCGATTTCTGATTCTCAAAACTTGATTCCCATTGTAAATGCTCGATATTAAAATGCAGTTTACCATGGAATCTGATTGCAGCCTCTTCACAGAGTCACATCAAACCCGATCGAAATGCCAGTTGAAAATACCATAATAGACCTATTTTTTTATCGAATTTGTTAACCCTTGAATCTCTCTGCGAGGAAGGATTTGGCCGTGCTGCTTCAAAGCAGTGAAATGCTTATTCACAGCACGTTTGGGCACAATCCCTGCAATAATAGAAGGCACTGTAATACCCCGAGCATTAACTCGGTGTTAATCTGCGCCTCCGAGCGCTGCCAAGTGATTTTGAGGATTTTTAATGGCCACTTTTCCTTTTCGTGCCACCCTCCCTGATTTTTTTTTTTTCCTTCTCTCCTCCGGGAGGGAAGGTGGGAGGAGAGGCAGAGTTGAGGAGTTCAGGACGTGGGTTTCCCAAAGGTACAGTCGCAGCTCCTCACGAGGCTGGAGCTGGGAAGAGGAGCCTCTCTCTGCCAACTGTGCCGCATTCCTGCTGCCCTGCCTTTTTCCCAGGGCTCAGAAGGAAAGAGCATCCCAGTTCTTCTTCACTCTTGGGAACACACACATTGTTCCAATAATCCAGGCAATAAATGCTAATTAGTAATGCTTAAGGACCCTACCAGTCAGAGTAATTATCATAATTTACCTCTTCCTTGTTAAAAAACATTCCTTGCTGATTTTAAATTTTTTATTTTTTTTTTTTTCCTCAAAGTGATGGTTTCTCCCTTTTTTTTTTTTGCTTCTGGAAAGCATTCCTGGTTGGATTAGCAAGAACTCTGTGGGTCCGCTGTAGCTTTGAAACCCGCTTCGTGTATTTTATAGGGAACTGGAGCTAAAGATTTTCCCACACATAAAAATCCATTTAAAACCTGGTATATTTTTGCCTTTTCCTCCCCTCTCCGCTCCCCCCTCCATTCCCCAGCACCACCAAAAACCACTTGCAGAGGGAGAACAAAGGAAATCACTAACTATAAAGGCATCATTAAGTGTGAGGAGCAACAGCAAGATAGAGTGTGTGATATGACAACATATTTTATTGCACAAAAGTAGAGATAATTAAATAATTCAGTGGTATTCTTAGCTAATTAGCACAAAGATCTTTCAGAAGCCATCAAGAAAATGGATCTCATCAAATCTAATAATATGCTACGTTTCCCGAAGATCCTGCATTTCCCAGTGTTGCTGCTGCTTCCCCACCTGACACAGCAACACCAAAGGTTACAGAGAGTTGTACATTTAATTGGGCTGTTCCCCAAGAGAATATTTTCCGTGGAAGGGGATCAGGTATTTAGAGGAAATGAATATGCAGAGCTGGAATTTTCAGTGTTGGTGGATAGCAGAGAAAAGGATCAGAGCTTCGGGAAAGGCAGATCTGTTAAAAGTGATCCATTTAAAAGATGGAATTATCAGCCAGGAGCCTTTCTTGGGGTGACTGTGATGGGGCTGAATCCTTGGGATTTGGAGCTGCTAAATGAATGCTGGGGTCCCAGATCTTTTTATGGAGTTAATTGAGGACCTGGATTGCCTGTTTCCACATTTGAGAAATGTGTGGCAGAGTCCAGGGGAGGTTTGGGACCTCTGGTTTGATGTGGGCTCTCATTTCAAGGCCAAAGCCTTGTCCCACTTGTCGGTGGATCAAACTGGGAAGAGCTCCATTCCCACCAGTTGGGCTTCAGTGGGACAGCTACAACTCTTGTGCCATGCACATCTTTTTTCTTCTGGGTTCTTGAGTTTTTTACCTGGAATGAGTGACTGATTATGTTCCTGAGCTCAGTCCAGGTTGGCAACCTACAGATCCCATACAGGGGAACAGGGACAGGTACCTGCAGGGCATTGAAGCTGCATCTGGAAAGCTCTGTGAGGCACGTTCCCAATAATGAGGTGCATCAAATAATTACTCAGAATATCTCCTTGTATTATTCAGAATATCTTACCTATATATATTACCTTTGATGTAAATGTATCCACAAGTTCACGAGGTGCATTTGCAAACTCTAATTTACTGCCTCTGTATTGGATATATTTGGGGTTACTTTTTCCCCTGCCAAACAAAGGAATTTGTCTGAAAATTTGACCTTGCCAGTCAGTTAAAAATCTCCTGTTTTAAGCAAAATGCCAGCATGCTGCCTTACCCTTTAAATAATGGAAGGGGATGTGCATCAGTCTTAGATTCAGCACTAGTTGTTGCTTTTCCTCTGGCCCCAAACTGAACTTTGCTCCTGTGTTACAGTTATGGTGCATTTGACTCCCTGGACTACCCAGACAAGTAAAGCTGTGGGGTAAGATGTTCCAGTTTGTGATTTTTTTATTTGTTGTTGTACATGGAAGGGAGAACTTACAGGCTCACCCTGAAACTGCAGTGTCCCAGCATGTGGAGAGAGACTTCTCCCTGCTCAGAAAGAGGTGGGGACTCATTTATTCGAGGTAGATGGAAGGAATAGGAGGGGAAAAGGCACCTAAAAGTGATTTGCCCAAGGAAGCACATTATTAGCAAAGCAGTAATTCATGTCTCCTGGTTTACAGGGCTCTACTTAATGGCATATATTCTTCCTCTGTGGAACTTTCCTGCTTGGGCATAAGATTAATAACTTAATTATGGCTCCTGATATGCCAGGAGACCCTCTCATGTACCTCAGATGGAACCATGAAAGAATATGTTATTTCTGTGAGCAAGTCATGCCTTTTTGCCCTTCTGTTTTTCTGTCATTCACCCAATGCTCTGGCAACTGTATTTGATATGAGAGGGCATTAAAACCAATTAAAAGATGAAAGATGAGCCTCTGATTTACATGGTGACTGTGGAAGGCTGAGACTGCTGCAATTGTTTTCATTTAACAGCTCTTCCCACACTGCAGTCAGTGAATCTCTAATCTCCTGGACTGAAATGTCTGACACTTTCAGAATCATTTATTTGCTGGCTCTTGTGTCTGTGTGGTGCTCCCAGAGCTCCACCCACAGCGGTGTCTCAGCAGTGGGCTGATGGTATATTGGATATAAATGTATGTTCTTTAAGGGGGTGGGGGGGGATAAAAGGCTGAACACGGGCTTTGCTGTGCAATATGTGCCATCCTTTAAATAAGGGGTAACTGCAGCAGCAAGTGTTGGAGGATGGCTTGGGCTTCTGAGACACAAGGAGTAGATTAACCCTGGCACAGTTTATTCCTTGCTGCTGACCCTCAACCAGCACCACTGAGCACAACCTGGTGCTATTTGCTGTTGTGTTCCTCTGGAAGATGGACAGAAGGGATGCCCTTTGGTGTCCTGTGTGGCAAAGAGGAGGATAAGCTCAGTCAGCTCCTGAGAGAAGTCTCCAAACTGCTCCCTCTGGCTGCTCCAAGAAGCTGAACCTCTGGCTTCTGTTCCCTGGAAGCTGTGTCTGGTGATCACAGGCCACTTGACTGCCCTGCTGGTAACTTCACTTTTAAGATGAATTATGCAAGAAATGCTGTGAAGCATCAGAAATGCTGAGGATTGAGAAGAGTCCTCCCAGTGCATGAACTCGTTTCTGAATCAAGCCCGAGACTCACCTGGATTCCACCTCCTCCAGAAAGGACAAAAAAAGGGGAAAAGGGATCAAAAATCAATCAGAGGACTTTGGTTTTGCTGTGTTTGTATCATGTCTGAACCTGCAAAGAGTATCCTTGGTTATTCCCAAGGAATCCAGTAAATGGTGACTCTGTCAATCAGTTACTTGCAGTGTGTTTGTCTCATTTGCTCACCTCCTTCTCCCCTTTCCACCAGGCCTTTTAGAGCTCCTCATTCCCTGGGAGGAGAGGATGGAGTGGTTGGGACTGGGCTCTTCCTGGGGCTTGGAGGGAGTGGGGAAAAAAATGCCAGCTTGGGAAGGGGGTTGGTGGGCTCACGGAGCACCTCACACACAAAATTTGCCTCCAGATTTAATTGTGTTTTCACTCCACTAATACCTGCCAGGGAAAGCTGATTTTAAAGATGTGTTGCCTCTCACTGTTGATGGCCCAACTAGGGTAAAATTCCATGAAATCTGGATTTTTCTCTCCCATGTTTCATAGATAATTCAGAAATAACAGTGCAGCTTTTTAATTCCTGCTCTTCTTCATCCCCCTTTGCTCTTTTTCACGTGACCCAACGTCCCACGTGCAGTTTTGGGGTGTAATGTGGATTTTGAAAGATGCTGCAACATAATTGGAGCAGGAGGGAAGCCCTGGGTTTGAATTAGTGGTGTTCTGCTTGCTGTCTTTATGTCAGCATTCAGTTCCTTTTGGAATATGTGAATAGGAAATTTAAAAATAGGGATCAAACCCCAGCAAAACCACGACATTTTGGTTCAATTGCCAAAAAGATTCAGTGAGGAACTGAAGTCCCCAGATTCCTCAGGCAGCCAAATGCTTTTTTTTTTTTCTTACAGTCGTGGCATAAAAACTGATATTAAGAAGGAAAATGAAATTGCTGCAGTTTTCTTTCCTCCCTGTCTATTTTAGGAACATTTTAGGAAGAGTTTTCCCCAAATTCCAGCCCCCCCCAAGCACAACCTCTGTCTGTTGTACTTGCACAGAGGACATGGGGAGTTGGTGGGAATTCCCTGGGAGCTGGAGGCAGGGAAGAGGAGACTCCAGTGGCAGCCCCAAAGCTGCCAGCAGTTATTCCTCCTGAGGGATCTCTCCCAAGCCCAAACATGAAACTGCAGTGGGACAGTGGGGGAGGTGTGTTTCCACATTTATCTTTTCAGTTGAGATAGAAAACCCAAGGTCTTCTCTGGTGTCCAGGGACAGATGTCCAGGGAGAAGTTTTGTTCCTTTGGCACAATCTGTGTGAAACCTTCTCTGCTTTTTCCCCCCCCCACTCTTTCCAGAAAAAAAAAAAAATTAAAAAAATACCCTATTTTTGGTTTCAATTCCCCCCCCCCCAAAAAAAAAGACAACAGTGTTGTTGGAACCCTCTCCTCACCTCCTAAATAAAGAGACAAAATATTCTGGGATGTGTTTGCTCCTTTCCAGGTTGGAATGTATGACTCTGTTGGAAAACAACACAGGGCTCGCTGTTATAAAACATATGGAGCAATATCTGAGTGTGTTTTGTTCACATATGATGGTACCTCATTATTTAGTAATGCATCACTTCTGCAGCAACTTCCATCTGTGGATCTCAAGGCACTTTCTGCAGAGGCCTGAATTAACTCCCACAAGTGCCTTGGTGAGGTGGGTATGGAAACATTCCTGGTCCTTGTTCACAGGAGGGGAAACCGCAGGCAGAGAACCATCATTTGCAAGATTTTTAACCTCTGTGTCCTCCTTTGCACACTTGGATTTTCCTGCTGACACAGAGTGAGACTGTTCCTTTTCAACCCAGCTATTGAAAATATCCATCGAGCACAGTGGTATCAAATATAATCTGATTTGGAAGGGGTTTTTTGTTTGGTTTTAGTTAGTTTATTTTGTTCCTGTAGGACAGGGGAGGGGAGACTGGCTTTCCATCCTGAGGCTTTGCTCAGCAGAAGGCCAGGGATGTGTTATTCTTGTGGGGTGGGGAGGTGCCTCAGCACCTCTGAAAAACCACCCCAGCCTAAAAGCACTGATTAGAGAGTTTGGCTCAGGCATTTTGCCTGAGATGGCAGGGCTGATAATTGGATTTCAGCTTTCTGAGACTCCAGTCCATTACTGCAGCTATAAATCACGGGGCTGCAATCACTCCTCTAATGCACCCTTCCTTTGGAAATGTTTCCTCCACGGCCCTTTTCCATCTGTGCCTATGGAAACACCTCCAGTGTGGGGAATACAGCAGTGGGGGGATAAAGCTGTGCCTTCAGCAGCTCTTAGTGCACTTGTTGACTCCCACCCGGCATTACCTCTCCCCATGAAGCAGTTTGGGATGTTTGGAGTGTGCTCAGCGGGGCAGCTTGAGCAGCTTTTACCCCTGTAAAGATTTTCCTGTGTTAATTCCCGTCAGCCCCAAGGAGGAAAGTCACGCAGAAAAGTTGCACAGGCAAACCTTTGCTTAATCAAGGCTTTAACTTCTTGGAGGTGCTCAGTTTGTTTTGACCTCAGGACTAAAGAGCTGCTCTTTTAAAGCCCTGCTTTTTAATTTTTTTTTTATTTTTATTTTTTAAATAGATCAGGATAAACCCCTCAGTGACTCTGCACGTATTCTCTGCTGTCATTAAATTCTGCCTCACAGGGTAGACTGACAGCCAGCCCTTTCTTCAGATAAATATAACAACAAGATTAATCTGGGAGAAGTAATGCAGTGCCAGGGGATACCCCGGGTGAGTGGCAGCTGAGAAATAAAACATGGGGGGTTTGCTGTGGGAGGCAGAGTTACCTTAATTTAAATCTTCCCTCCTGCTCCAGGATTGCCCAGCCCAGAGAGCCTTGGAAGCTGCAATTGGGGGTTAATCAGGAGGGATGTTCCGTGAGGGAACTTTTCTGATTTTTGTACCAGCCTACCCCCTGTTTTTACATCTCACGAGCCAGAATATCCCTTCATGTGGACTTCAGCCTGTCCCTGCTTGCTGCTAAAACAGAAGACAAAGGTAACAGGATCAGTTAATCCTTATAATCTTCAGCATTGTTGGAGCCTCCATGGTTTTTTTTTCTATAAACCCAAACATCTTTGCTGCTGGCAGATTTAAAAGAATGAGCACATAAAGATGCTCTTTTCTCTTTTTCATAAGTTAATTTCTGAGCTTTGGTTTTTTCCTCTACCTGCTGCCTTCAGAGCTTTGCCTCTTTCCTGAGACCTGGGCTTGGCTTGGTGCAAAAACCACACGTGCAATGGGAGAGATCCTTTCTTAAGCTGACCCGAATGTCATTGTCAGAATTGCACCAGGCATCATTTTGACCCAGAGACAGTAAGATCAGATGTTAAAACACTGAACCAGGAGCTCATCAGCAGGAGGTCTCATTCCTGCTGAGATTAGTCAAGCCTGTTCTCCTAGACATTTTTTATCCATATCAAGAGGAAGTTTGGAACTAAATTTAATCTATTTCCCAGAAGCTGCTGATGCTTTCATGTAAAATGAGGAGTTGGTTGTCAAGACAGGAACAAATTTTTGGAGCCATCACGAGCCTTTCTCTGATTAGTGTACCAAAGACATGAACTGATTTGATATATGGTGGCCATAATAATTAAAACTGTCTTTCCAAACACACATATCGAATTCCTTTCCTACCTTGACACACCCACAGCCCCTGTCCCATGCTTAGGAACACAAGAAATGGAGAATTAGGCCACACCTGACCACTCAGTGTTCCTAAAGTGACCCAGCTGAGCAAACCAAAGAGATTGCAACAAGCCTTTCATCTACTGATGGTCTAATGGGATCCCTTTGTGTTGATTTTAGCACTTTCTCTTCTTGGCTGAATTAAAGAATCCACTGCACTGATGCCCAGCCTTTTATTGTTGTGCCATGTTATTCATGAATTATTCCAGTTTCATGGTTATTTTGGTTTTGGCACTGTAGCCTCTTCTAAAATATTCGTACAACAAAAGACAGGAACGTGGTTTTTTCCACGTCCTGTCTGTCTGTCTGGAGCTGTGGATCCAAACACTTTCCAGCTTTGAGGATCCACCTGATGATTTATGAGAATGGGATGGTGTGAATCAAGAACTTGGCATCCACGTGTTCTAGGCAGGTTCTAGTCCTGTTCCTGCTCCTCAGAAATTATCATTACTGACTCATCCCTAGAAAATGTAGGAACACCAGAACCCATGTCCTGAGTCCCCTCAAACTTAAAATTCGGATTTGGGGTTTATTTTTCCCACCAGTCAGTCTTTATTTCTTTCAGAATAAGACCTAGTGAAGTGTTTTGAGAACTTGGTCCCACCTTTGATGTATAAAATCCTGTCACCTCCAGATCTTCCCAACCCACTTGAAAAGAACAGAGCACAGAGGGAACATCCTGCAATATTATGGGATAAGGGAATTTTCCCCTGCCCCCCTCAGTAAAAACGGATCAGGCCATCTAATATTGCACAAACTGACATCTTTTTTCTAAAAATAGCTGTCTGAACATTCAGTCAATGGAGTAATCCAATTGCCTGAACATTCTTGGGTGCTTTATCATTTAAATTGTAATAAATCACAGTGTGCCACAAGCTGTATTGAGCTGCATCAAGTTACACTCCCACCAATAACATGCGGTGACCAGATGAAATCAGTGTGACATGATGGAATTGAGCTGAAAATTCAATGCATGCCCTGTTTTGTCTTAAAAAGTTGGCTTAGACAGGCCTCAAAAATTAGGGGGATTTTCTAAAAATCACTGCCCCTGTCACATTTCCACTCGCCATTTCTCCCCTTCATTTACTTTAAATAATGAGCACACAGGGCCTGCCCCCAAGTGCATTGAGCTCTATTGAAAAATTGCTATTGATTCCAGGCTTTGGACTTGGTTGTTTGGGAGTTTTGCAGTAAAATATGGAAGGACCACTATTGTGCATATTTTAGGACAGCTGAACCAACACACTAATGCTCCCAGGAACATGCTGCCACAAACTAATACCTACCATTGTCTGGAAAAAGTTCATTTTATTTAGTTTTCCCCCCCTGGTTTCTTTCTTAAGTAAAAGTAATGGGATAAAGTAATTTTAACTCTCCTAAGCAGCCCTTTATTTCTCAGAGCAATATTCCCCTGGACCACCTTAATGAACTCCCTCCTCTGCCCGGTTTTATACATGTTTCAGATATTTATACAAGATGTATGAACATAAA